GCTCTGAGGGTGTCTGTGAGTGTTGAGGACCAGGTGAGGTGCTGGTCTTAGTAAGGCAGGTAAGGCAAAGCTGTGCCTGGCAGTGCCAGAAAGGGCATGGAGCTCACAGGCATTTTGCAAGAGGTGGAAGGATACAGCTCAGAGGACACAGCTCCTCTGTCTGCCTTCTTCCATGGACCAGCACAGCTCATGAAAGATGGATCAGGTGAGTGAGTGATCTTCAGCCTGTTACTGTGAGCATTTGATTTTCCCAGCTGGATCACGCCCAACCTGCACATCCTTTGGCTGCATGACCAGCAGTTGGCACTGGGAATGGACCAGGATTGTGTGGCTGCGGGTGGAGAGGGTGAAGCTGCTGCCAAAAGGCCAAATGCCACCTATGTTTGTTAGGTTAAAGCTGCTCCTGAGCAACAGTCCAAAACTTCTGCTGTCTTTGCTCTCCTGAAGGAGAAGAGTTAGTGAGCTCCTCAGGTTTATCTTCTCAAAGGAAATATGCAATTACTTGTGTAAAGTATCAGGACTTCAAGCTGAACTACTTTTTTTCTTAGTGTTCACATGGAGGTTCTGCCTTCACAAGTGGAATGTACAGTTGTCAGGACCAGTTTTCAGAGTCTCTCTGTGGTCATTTTTAGGGCAATACTTGGAGTCCCGCTGGCTTCCACGTGACTGGGACTCACACATTTGGGTAGGAGACCTGAAGAGGTGCACCTGCCGGTGGCCATCCATGTGGTTCATTCTGCTGTCTAATGTAGCACCATCCTGGAGCACTGAATTTTGGTGGTTCACTGGTCTTCAGAGCAGAGGCTGAGAAGGTTTGATCTCTCTGCATGTAGGGATGTGGCAGTCTGGTGTAGTACATCCCAGAGGGGATGCTCACGCTGCCGTCATTTCCAAGGCTTTGTGGTGAGGTTGTTGCACAGGTGTAACATGTACCTCAGTGCAATTAAATCACTGGGCTTACATGCTGCTGACTAGCTTGTCCCTGTTAGTTTTAGACTTTTGATTGCCGTGTGGGTGAGCTCAAGGCTTGAGGAACTGACCCTGACTGCTGCAGGTCAATGCATGGAGGTTGTTTCCTACAGCCTGCAAGGGGCTGCTGCCACAGTCTGGCAGTGTGGCCCTTTGGCTAGGACATGAGTCCCTGAAGACACTCCTTTGGGAGAGCTGGTGACCACTGGTAAGTAGCTCATCAAGATATCTTGTGCAGGATTTGCGTGTTTGATTTTGTTCCCTGAATTGGTTAATGCTGCTACATGTTCCCACAAAGAAAGCAAGATGTGTAGATTCTTGTAAAGTCTGCTTCTGTTATTTTATTTTGATGTTTTGCCAGACCTTAGTGATTTGATTGGCAAGCTGGAAAGCAGTGTGATCAGAGAGTTTTCAGCTTCTCCCAGGAGCTGTCCTTGGAAGCACAGAGGGCACCCAGCTCAGGCCACCTGCTTGCCAGCAGAGAATTGGGCTGGTCTCATCCTTACTTCCACCTACATTTAACTGGACATCTCCTGTGGAAGAGTTGCCTGCTTTGAGCACAGTGCTGCAGATGGTGCATGGAAGGCTCAAGGTGCTGCTTCTTGGAAGCCTACTTGTATAAATGTCCTGACACTGATTCTCTGTGGTTAATGCCCATTTCATTTTTACAGCCTTTGATTTCAATTGACAATGTGGCTTGCTCGTCCTGGCAGGCAGCCTGAGGCAGCTGTACCTTCTTTTAATAGGAACTCTGACCTCTGCAAAATGACTCATCATTAATATGTCTCTGTAACGGTTTGTTTATTTCAGCTCCTTTCTGTGCTTCTCTCTCTAATGGTTTTTATGCTGTTTTTTGCTTAGCTTATCAAGCAGCAGATTCTCTCCCTCCAGTTTAGGAAGGTAAAACTACATTGCATTAAACTCCTCTGACCAAACACTTTTCTGAATGTCTGTACATGATTACCTTATAATGCTTTGGTACTAATTAATTAATCAGTCGAGAGCCCTGAAGTGATCTAACAGCCTCATTCTGCATGATTTGATCCCTAATACTTGCTTGAACTGCAGAAAGAAAAGTGAATGTTCATCATAATTCCTGTATTAAGGTGCAAGAAATATTCCTCTTTCTTAGCCGAAGGATGGGTGTTCAGCTACTTCTTTATATTAAAGTGAGACTTCCATACAGAGACATTAAAAATTGGATGTGGCTGCCCTGAGACATCCAGAGAAAAAGATTTTCTTCCCCCTGCCATTGTTGTGAGCATCCTCATTCACTTGGACTCTGTCCCAAAATACACTTGTACAGCTGTATTTTGCCTTTGGCAAAAGAACACATTTGGAAATCAGTTGGCATTTCTGGTTTGCTGGAGTGGCAGGTAGAAGAGTGACCGTGGAGGGAAAGGCCTCTCCAGAACACCTCTATAGCTCTGGGATTTCTAACCAAAAAGTCAGAAAAATAAAATCATGACAAGAGGAATACAGTTCTCAAATTTCCTTTTCCACCAGGCTTTTGTATGGAAATCCCTCTTTAATTGAAAAGGCTACTGAATTGCCAGTGGTCTCTTCTAGGGTCCAGGGCTTTTTCTGCCCCAAAGTTGCAGCCCCAGGAAGGCCCAAAGAAAAAGTGGCTAGTGCTTTGTGTCCAGTTCCTCGAATACCCTGAGTTACTGGTTTAGAAAGCAATTTGAATTGGACAAGCCTCCTTGCAGCTGGAGTGAGTCAGCTGAGAGCCCTACAGTGCCAGAGCCTTCAAATCCTGCTGTGACCAACACAATGGTTTCTTTGAAAGACTCAACAGGCCTTCCAGGCTTCCTGCCAAGTGTTATTGGGCAAGTCTCTGATTCATCTGCCAAGCCTGTGGAACCCCCAGCTTCCAACCACAGCTGCTTTCCAAAGCCATTCAGTAGCCTTTGCTGTATGTATTTCATCTGGTTGTGGGATTTGTACTAAGTGGACCAGATTTATTCCTGGTGCTGCCTGCTGGTGCTGGTGGCATGGTGCTGGGAATAAACTGGGTCCCAAGAGCCACTATGTGTGTGTGCATCACTTGATTATAGGATGCTGATTCGGTTGCCTTCCTGCTGGGGTATGAAATGTTGATTGATTATAGGAAATTCCTTCATGTGGATCTGAAAGGCATTTACTGGTATGGAGCAGGGGATCCTTGTATTAGATTGTTTGCCTTACTCAGTGGAAATGGGAATTTTTTTTCTGGGATCGGAATTTGGAAAGGTTGCTCTGGTTTGAAACAGTATTTGACTCCCACAGCCCTTTCTTGGCCCCACATTTGAGTGAAGAGTTGATTGCCAGGTCCAGTGTCCTAATATCAATTGATTTCCACAGAAAAGAGTCTGAGCTGTGGAATCTGTTAGTTTTATTCCATCCCACACATGTGTTTGCATACAGGCCATGCTTATAACCCTCATTCAGTAGATGAGTCAGGTTTGCAACATCCCGAGCTTCCCCTGTCCTGACCTTCATCCAACACAAGGTTCCTGGGAGCTGGGTGAGGTTCCTGCCGTGTCCCAGAGAGTTGTTTCTCAGGGATTTATCTCCCTGCATCCCGTTCTAGAGGGAAGGCAGAGGGAAAATAATGACACTGCAGCTTCCAGGTAAGTTTTCAGGATGGATGAAACAGGCAGTTGCTGTGGCTGTAGCTTTCCTGACACCTTCAGCCATGCATGCTTAGTCCCTGTCAGTGCACCTGCCCTTGCTGGGTCATGCTAAATGTGGGATTTTTTTGGTTTGCCCTGAACCAGTTTGCTTCCTTAGCAGGTAGAGCATTAGTGGCAGCAGCACCAGCATCCTGCCTGCAAGCCGGAGCTGCTTGTGAGGCTGGGGTCCTCCTCACGGAACCCTCACCACACACTCTGAGCCCTTCTGCTCATGGTAGAGCTGTGTCAGGAGTGGTTTGGGCATTTGTTCCACCCCTTGCATGTTTCTGGGAGATGATCACTTGTTTAAGGAATGTCTTTCACTGCTGAAAATTATATAAATAGAGCTGCCAGCTACTGGCTTTCTTGCAATGTTAGCTGTTTCTATGAGCGTCTTTGCACTTGAGACCTTGGGGGCCCCTCTTGTATTGTAAATGTGTAGAGTTTTAATTGCAGAGGGAAAAATGAAGTGAGGAGCTCTTCCCTTCCAAGACCCTTAGCATTATCTGAATGAAAACCCAGTTTGGAATTAAATAATTTCCTTTTATTTAAGAAAGCCCAGATTTTCTGGGACCTCTCTCAGTGATGCTGCAGCAGGGTTGACAGTGTGCATGAATATGGTGATTTATTGCAGTCATTGAACAGCTGAAATACCTGAAGAATCCATGGTCTGCTTTTGAGCATTATGGATTGCACTGTTAGGATAGTTCTGCCTATTTGGGTGTCCCAGCACAAACTTCAAGGTCAGAGCCTGAACTCCTGGAGTAGGGAGTGTGAGTGCCTACCTGCAGAAGTAAGAGATTAAACAGGGAATTCCTTCCCATCTACTTCCTGACTCAGGTCTTCCTCAGTGAGCTGTTCCACAGCTGGAAACTATTCTTCATTCTAAGAGGGCTGCTGTGTTCAGGAGACATGTTCCATTCACACTTGGCCTGAAATGACACAAATTCTTCACAAATAAAAGAAAATCCCAGTAAACAGGACAACTCTTGAAACATTTATGGTTCAGAACTGGGAATTGACTTTTTTAGGTAGAGGTCTAAGCTTGCTGGCTGGCCAAAGAGATGTTTTGGTATAATCAAGAGCTAAAATGTGTCTTCATTCATCCAATGGGTCAACATTCATTGCCCCTATAGCCATAACGGCTAAGACAAAGGGAATAGCTCCCAAATGTCACTTTAAATTGACAATCATCTTAGGAGGGAGAAATCAATCAAATGCCCTGAAATGGGACTGGACTTGTGAGCAAGTGTAGGGATGATGGGAGGGAAGAGGGCATGGACACCAAGAACACAGGCTGCTGAGGTGAGACACAAGGTGGACCCTTTGATTTTTCTGGTGCTTTTATCTCTAAAAAATGCTTCTTGAATCTTCCAGGAGCACCTTCTGCGCAATCATTTCTCAGCTGACGGAGGAAACACAGCCACTATTTGAAACCACTATCAAATCCCATGCTGTGTCCGAGGACTGTGATGCTAAATTCACGTGCATAGTGACAGGTAACAGTGTCTTCAGTGAATAACCTGGCCCTGCCTCATCTGCTGGACTTGTGACAGTTAAACTCCGCAGCAAGTGATAGCAAGGATAACAAGCCCACTGTTGTCAATCAGAATGCCAAGCAGAGGTTCAGCAATTGCATGGTGATTTTAGCTTCAATTTAATGGAGGTGGGAAGTACCTTAGAGTGTAAAGAGGCAAAGGCATAAGCTAACATCTCAAACAGGGCAAATGAAAGACTAGAAAATGGGATATGCTCGTTACTGCTTGGACCAGCTACATTGTACTGTCCTAATCTCTGCTTCTCTAATCCTGGACTCCAAAAGTCAGGAATGTGCAGTTTTGGAGATTACAGCTGTCCTGCTGGAACTAACACTGCTGACTGTAGATGGTTAGAGCACAGCTACACTTGTATCAGTGATAAACTTCTGTGTCTGTCAACATCTGAAATAAAAGCTGGTCACTGCCCAATGAGCTAAAATCTCCCCTTGGGCAGGAAGGGGTTAAGTCAAGAAGAGGACAAGGACAAGGACAAGGAGGAGGAGGAGGGAGAGGCCAAAAAAGAGGGCTGGTGCTAAGGCATGGTAGCATGGCAGCACATTGGTGCAGAGGCAAGTAGGGTTCTACTGATGAGATTTTGTTCTTTAAAACCTTTTAAAATATTTTAAAACTCTAAAACATCTTCTCTTGATGTACTTATTAACAACTCCATGATCCTTCCTGACTTCACTGGTACTAATTACTCCAAGAGGTTACTCAGTGAGAGACATGAAACAAGCTTGTAAGTTTTGGAAGGTGGAGAGTATATCCAGTGAGCCTCTTAGGCACAAGCCCAAAGGACCAAAGCTTTCCTAAGGAAATCTGGTTTGCTGTTAGAAACAGGCTGGAAATAAGGAAGCACAGTTTCAGTTCTTCTGAGAACTGCCAGCTATGAATTCTTGGCTTTTCTCTTATGGATTCCCTTGTTCTAAAGGCTGACCTTCTGAACTTGCAGGGGTACAGCTGATGTATTGATTTTATTGAGACTTAACTTCAGCAGACCCCTTCTTACTGCTTCTAGAGCCAAAGGGGGCTGCTAGGAGATGCCTCCAAACCACTTTATTTGGGGAGTCATTGGAAGGGCTCTTCCCAATTTCAGTTTTCTGGAAGCAAAAGCTTGACATATTGTGCAGTACCTTGGAATGTACCATTCTGCAAGTGTCCGAGGTGAGAAAATGTTTAGGTGTGCCAGGAAATCCAGAGTAAAAGTCCTGGCTTCTCTCACTGGCTTAAATCTTCACCAGCTGCACCTTTGAGGTTGATGGTTCCTTCTAACAAATTCCATCTCTTCCTGATGTGTTGCACCAGGTAGAAAACTTGACCTGATACTGGCCTAATTTCCTACTCAAGTGAAGAAATTGTCAATGAGTCTCTTTCAGCTTGTATCATGATATTTTTGTGCTTGGTAAACTAGGTTGGGGGATGCATGCCTCTATGCACTTAGAAATTTTCATGGAAATGTTATTAAAATCGTCCTTGAACCACCTTTGCCAGATGGGCTTCTGCTGTATGTAGTCCTATGGACTGCTTTAGGAGCTCAGGATCTCTTTGGGAAAGAAGGCCAGGAGGTCTAAAGTGTACTCTGACTGCAGAGTCTGGTTGGTAGTTCAGGTATCTTGCCCTTCCATGATGTTTGTGTTCAACAGGGAGGTGTTGCTGGGAGCAAGGAAATGGCAGTGACATCCCTGGAGAGTGACCAGAGTGGAAGCTGTTCTGTCCCAGCACTATGGCTGGAGTCCAGGGACCCTTTGATGGAAGCAAAGGGCAGACAGTCACTTGCTCCTGTTTTGACGGTCAAGCCACAAATATGGATGTGTGACCTAGAATAGCATCTTACTATTTTTTTTTTTTTTGCTGCTTCTTGACCAATAATGAGAGTTACAGGCTAGTCCCACATCTGGGAATACTTGGACTAGGACTTGTTGGGCCTGTCCTAGGAACACAGAAAGACGCAAGCGTTTGAAGAACCAATCTCCAGATTGTGGTGAGTGGTGCAGGCAGGGAAAAAGCAGGTCAGGCAGAGGCAGATTCTTGTGTGTGGAGGCACAAACCTTCCTTTCCTCCTGATGCCTAGTTTCAGCCTGCTACTGGTGTCCCTGCTATGTCTGATTTGATTTTTTGAGTCAAATCCTGCATCAGTTATGAGATGTTTTCTTTTTTCAGACAAAATTACTTTCATCCTTTGTTCTCTAAGAGATGTGAAAAAGGAAACAAGAACATTTCCATTTACTGTGCAGCTTCATCCCACATCTCTGCACCAAGTGCTTTCCTTGGTGGGTCTGTCTGGACGTCAGGGTCTCAAGGATCATCACAGCTCATTTGCAGTGAGTGAATGTCGAGCTTCTCTCTTCAGAGTGGCCCTTCATGGAGGTGCTGCCACAAGGATTTTCCAGCCTTTTAGTTGCTTCTATGTAGCATTGCCTGGGAAGGATAGATATCAGCTGATGAAATGGGGGAAGTTGGATGAAGGAGCCTGCATCTCTGGCTTCTTGTTATGGAATGAGTCCAGCCAGGACAGGTGGTAGCTGGATCTAGCCAAGACCACTGTATATCAGCACCAGCCCAGTGTTGTACAGCTACCTCTTCAGTGCCATTTCCACCCTCCTTAGCCAGGTTCAACCCCTCTGATCTGGCTTCACAAATCATTGTCTCAGGAGCTTGATCCCATCACTGCCTCCATGGTTATATTGCAGAGTACAGAGGGGAAAGAGCTCTGCCCATGGCTTGGGGAAGAGAGTTGGGGTAGGGTGAGTAGACATTCACATGCTTAGTGGATGCAGTTTTTAATCAGGTTAAAGGAATTCCACTTGCTGCATTTGTGGTGACCCTCTGAGGGAAGTGTTTGAAGGATGAGACTGAACTGCTTGGATGAAAAATGTCTGGAGACATGCAGGATCTGTGAGTGGGGTTTGGGGATGGGATAGTGACTACAAAAGCAGAGAGTAGGCTGCTGGGAGATGAGGAGGTTTGGCTTTGGGGGCCAAGGACAAGGGAATTGTATTCCAAGACTGTTGTAGCCCCTACTCCATGTAGCTTATGTAGAGCAGAAACTGTGGATACTATGTAATGGTTCTAAACTCTTAGCACCTTCCCAAGTCTCAGAAGACTAACTCCCTCTCCTTCCCTGCCCCCCCACCGCCCCCAAAAGAAAAAGAAGAAGTAGAAAGCAACTTGAAACAGAGTTTCTCTGGATGATTTTGGATAGATATATTCAGAACTGTTTTGATTACGGTCACCAAGCTTTGAAGACTTCTCAGATTTTGACAGTTTTCAGAAAAAGAATGTTTGATCTAAACCTGGCAATCTCCATGAAAAAAAAAAAAAAAATCCCCACTCTGAAAAGTCTCCAGGATCCTGTGGTGGCTGGCCATCATGCTGGAGCAGTGCTGCTGAAGACACATACCCTGAAGATACGGAGCAGATGCCTGCCCTCTTCCCAGGAGCACCTGGCACCACTCTGTCTGCAGCTACAGGGCTCTGGCTGGGGGATGTTGGGGCCCACCTGCTGACAAATCCCTCTCCACACCAGCTGCATGGGGGGGATGTGGCAGTGGCAGGTTTTGGAATGATGAGTGCAGATCTATGAGTGGCTGCTCAGGGTGTCTCATGCTAAGGGTGGGCATCTGGTACCTGCAGCATGGCAATGCCCACGGATGGAACCCTCAGTTCCACCTCATCCCACTTGTCAAGCTGTGGATGCTGTGCCGGGAATTATGCCTGACTCCTCTTCCCCCCACCCTGGACTGGGGGAATTTATTCACTCAACAGCCCAAATGCTGTCAAGATGGATGTCAGCAGCATCAGCAGCAGCTCCCCTCCCCATGCCAGGGAGACTCATCCCTGCACAGGCATCTTCCCATCCCCTGCTTGACTCTAATTACAGCCCCTGGGAAGAGATGGATGGTGTTTGGACAGGCAGCTGGGGCCACTGTACCTGCGTGGGAGGTAGAAGCCTTTCAGCATCCGCCTGCCTGCAGACTTCCAGCCAGCACTTGCCCACAGCTCTCTTTGGCTGCAGGCTAGAGCGTGCTATGTGAGCTGGTCCTGGCACTGGGCTATCATGGCCGTAGCTCCTCAGAGGGAGCAGGCAGCCTCAAGGACACAAGTGCTACAGGTCAAAGGGAGTTTAAGCATAGCGAGAGGAAAAGCCTTTCCTTGAGACACTGCATAGCTATAGAAGTTGCAGCTCTTTCTGGCAGATGTCAGCTGGGAATGGAAATCAGCTGTGGAGGCCATGGTGGGGTGGGGAGGGGGGGCACACGGGACATCACAGGGCTTCTTGGAAACTATCTGCTGGCAGTTCCCAGAATGAAGGGCTGTGATTGCTGTTTCTTAGGGTGTCAGGAAAATCTACCTGCCAGCTCCCTGAAAGATAGACCTTGGGGGCCTTCTGAAGATCTTGCTTGCAGAACAGCCCTTGGGAAGGGCTTTGGATTACTCTGGGCACAGTGTGAGCTTGTGTATGGAAATTGTTTTGTTCATCATCTCTGGAGCAGAAAGAATTCACCACAGGCTCATTCAGCCCAGGCTCCTGCTGCCAATATTTAATATTTTATGAAAAATACAAGCAGCAGCATCAATCCCTGATTATTCCATTACTGGAATGCTCTCATGGCTTTCTCCACTTCCCAGTTCAGGGCTCGTTTTCTTCAGCCACAGGTACCTGAGGGCTTTACATGTCTCTAGAAACTGGTTTAGGGGGTCAGAGCAGCAGCAAATAACAGGCTGTGACAAGAGTGGGGCAGAGGGGGAGGGCAGAGAGCCTTACAGGAAGGGTGTTGGGAGAAAGTAATGATTTGGCTTCCTGTAGAAGAGGAGAAATGACACACTACGCAGCAGAAAGCCAAGGCTGCTGATGGCAGCAGTGGGAGGGGACTGAGGCAGCAAAGCATGTGGGAGATGTACACAGTGAGGAGAGAGAGGGGGGATGCTGGGGCAGTGCAGCGTAAGAGACCATAGAGAGGGCGGAAGAATAGAGTAAAATCCAGTCTGTGAGGTGTCTGGGCTATGGGGATGGATGCTTCTCATAGAGGAAAACAGGAAGGAAAAGCTGCTGAGACTTATCTTCCCAGCCCTGTCTGGTCACAGTGGACTAAAACCCTTGAGGAGCCAGTGGGCACTGAGGAGCCACCACAAGCAAAGGATGGGGACAGGGGAGCGAAAGCAGTGCAGGAGGAGACTTGGCATATGCTGCTTTTCTGGACAAAGGCATATTGGATTGGCCAAAACCTGGGTGAATTCCTGCTGATGAGTCTCTGCTTCTGGACTCTGTCCTGCTCTAGGACCTTCATGAGAGCAGGAGTAAGCTGGGCTCAAGCATTGCTATGGGCTGACGACATCTTTGGCTGGTGCAAGGAGGATATTTGAGGTCCTGGTTAGCCTTGAAACCTGTGGCTTGGTAGCTAGGAAGTATCCAGAGAGAACCTTGCCCCTGCTTTCTCATTACTCCAGAGCCATTGGGTTGGGACACTGGATATTCCTGGAAAGCCTTCATCAGCCCATGCCTAGGATGTTCATGGGAGCTGACCCTTGGCCATATCCTGGGGTGCTGTGGGTGATCCTTGGGGTCCAGTGGAGTTGAGGAGCTGGACTCCTTCCTTTGGCCCCACAGAAAGCCTGCAGGGACATTTGCAGCAGATAAGCTCCTGAATAATTGACTATAGCCAAGGCATGATGTGATCATTGAAATTTCCATCCCATGCCCTGGAGGTTGGCTTGGCTGGGTGGTGAGCCCTGAGTGAAGTGCAGGAACCCCTGCTGGCTGCTGGCTTGAGCAGTCTGCATGAAAACTGCACTTAATCTGAACTAGATCTGCTGTCATTGAGCAGTGAAGGCTATGGCTAGCACTGGTCCATGTGGGACTCACATGCTGATCCTACACCTCTGCTAGTGGTGGAGAACATGGCTGCATGCCCAGCCTGCCAGCCAACCAGTCACACACATCATGATGTCATTCTACTGAAAAGGCAGGTGACATCTGTTGTCAAGTGACATTTGTAGGACACTGAGCTGACTGTGATGCAATCAAGGTTGTTTCTGTTCCGTGGAAAGTTTCGGATCAGCTTACAGGCTGTGACACTGTGCAAAATGCTGAGCTCCATGGAGGGGCGAATGCCTGTTCTCCAACCATGGCCTTGGCCTCATCAAAACATCCCTCTTCACATAAAAGTGACGGCATGCTCACCTTCTCCCAGCCAATGTTACAGGAGACGAGCGTGTGATCCACTCCCCTCTGTTCAGGAATGAAGTGCTAGGATTTTTTTCTCAAAAATAGACCTATTCCTAGGAGTGATAAAAGTCTGAGATAAGCCCATTAACTTTCCACTGTTTCTGTTGTGCAATTTAGGAACGTGGTGAGCCCAGAATAGCATCTGTCCTGGTGTGCCAGATTGTTTTGCTGTCTGTGCTTCTGTGTGGAATGTTTCACTCTCTGATGTACCTTCCATGTCCTCCCCAGGGTATCCACAGCCAGAGGTGACATGGTACAAGGATGATGAGGAGATGGATCGCTATTGTGGCTTACCCAAGTATGAGATATTCCGTCATGGAAACCGCCATACCCTGCAGCTCTACAAGTGAGTAAAGGAGCTGGAGAGTGGCTGGGTTTGGTGATGGGAGCTCTGAGTTCTCAGTAGCTGGATAAGCTGTCAACAGTGAAGTCCCCCCCACCACTTGGCTGGCCCCTTCTGCTCCCCACTGTGAGTTCACAGCTGACTCTGCCCCTCGAGCTGTGGCTCCCTAGTCACACCAGTATGGGATCCATTACTGCTTCCAGGGATAGCTGCCATGCTGGAAGCAAGAGGAAGGGAAGAAGTCCCTGTCTCTGGAGCGTTCCAGTGCTGAGCATTAGGGCTGACAAAGGTGAGCAAGGCGAAAGCACTATCTGCCTCCAAGATGGTGGTCCAGGGAATCAGGTTTCTGGAGAGCCAGGCACACCTTGTCCCCAGCAGGCATAGATCTGTTGCACATTGAGTTCTGGATTTGGAATGTCAGACAGGTGTGGCACTGAATGAAAATGCAGAATATCAGTGTTGCTGATACTTCTGCCATCCTTGTGCTTCTAGTCTGAGCTTTTCTGCTCCCCTAGGTGTCTATCAGAGGCTTAGCTCTTCCAGGAGCAGGGATCTCTGTGGGTCAGGTGTCCTCAAGGGGTGACAATAGGGGTGCAGGCAGGTGCTTGTGCTGGTGCCTGTGACATGGGGTGGGAAGACTTTGGTGACATGGTAGGGTAGAGGAAGAACAGGAATATCTTGTGGGCTGTGTATAGCTAAGAGGAAAAGATCCTGCAGAGGATTCTGACCAAGAACAGTTGAAAAGCCTGGTGTTGCCTGTTCATCTTCCATCACAGCCCTCATACCAGAATTCCAGCCCAGGGTGGAGCAAGAACAAATTTATCATCAAACTTGCTTATCTGTTAGTGCGAAGAGCAGGCAGAGCCAGGGAGGGAGGTCAGCCCAAGGCCTCCACATGTCCTGTGGGCACCTCCTGGGCCACGTCTTCTGGACTCTGTGGAGCAAGAAGTAGGAGAGTATGCATGCCTGTGCATCCAGCAGGCATCTTGAGGAGGATGGGTAGATCTCACACACAGCTTTTGATTTCCAGGTGCCGTGAAGAGGATGCAGGCATTTACCAGGCCTCAGCTAGAAATAACAAAGGCATCGTGTCCTGCTCTGGTGTGCTGGAAGTGGGAACCATGACAGAGTTCAAAATCCATCAGAAGTGGTTTGACAAAATCAAGAGAAAAGCTGAAGAAAAGATGCAAGAAATAGAACAAGGCAAGAAACGAGGCAAAGAAAATGTGGAAGTGGAGAAGTTGCAAGGAATGAGCCCTGAACGGCTCCAGAGGAAGCGGAGGCTGGCTAGAGATCAGAATCTCCGGTCAGGAGACTCGTCATGGGAGAAGGAAGACGCAGCAAAAGTGCATGTCGCGGATTCACAGTCCAGGTTACACAAGGATATTGCTGAGACAAAGGAGCAGCCACTCAGTGCGGTGCCAGGCTTCCCAAACAAATTGGTGGCACCTCTGAAAGCAGAGGTGACTACCAATGGAGATGCCACTTTGGAAGGTGGGGAGGAGAATGGGAACAACTTTCTCACATACATCTATGAGACAGTGGAGGACTTGGTGACTAAGCCAGGGGCGAAAGACTCCGCAGCTAAAAAGAAAAAGAAGGTGGAGACTCCTTCAGCAGCTACACAGGAAGTTTCTAAGCGAGAAGAAAGTGGGAGAGACAGGGTCAATCTGTCTTCAAATCCCAGGTTTGCTCCTCCTGTCCCGTTACGCAGGAATGCACGTTTGAGGGCAGCAAGTGACCAAGAAGTGGAAACCAGTCCAAAACATAAAGAGCCTGGAAAAGCTGTGAAACAGGATATTAAACCTAATGATGACATGTACTTCTCATTAAAGGACATGTATTTTGATAAGCAAGTGAAGCCAGTGGCAGGGAAGGAGGAAGTGGGAGGCAAGGACGAGGCCAGGAGTGAGGCTGCCCTGCAGCCTGTGGCAGTCAGCGGACAGACAGAGGATGCTCCATTGGCCTCTGAGATGTTGGAGGCAGAACCTGTGCTGTCCGAGGGCCAGAGAGGCCAGCAGCAAGAACAGAAGCTGGAGGGAAACAAAGAGGTAACTAAGAGAGACAACAGCCAACACAGGGGTGACAACGAGAAAATATCTGTGCTGAGCATTTGTATTGTGGCATTGGGCCTGGGAGGCTGTGTGTACACCACGGGATCTGCTGCCAAGGCTCTGCAGGTCTCCACTGGTGACAGCACCCAGAAGGCCTTTTTTGATTTTGTGAGCCCAGACAGCAGAGCTTTCACCCCATCTCCAAGCAAATGTCAGCTGAGGTGGTGAGAGATATAAGTTGGTGCCCTTAGAGCAGCTGGTCTCGGTGGCCTGGGGCTCTCTGGTTTAATCGACTGACCTCATGCGAAATATTTTCAAATCAGGTCGGCAGGGAGCACTGAATGGGTATTTATAGCTGGGAGTGGGTGACTTGTCATGGCATCTGATCCATTTAACAAGGGAGCTTTAGTTAAGAAGCCCCCCATGCAGATGAGGTACCATGTGAGCTGCACCCTCAGGGCCTTGAGTTTTGTTTACAGTGCAATGTGTATACATATAATAGGTCTGGACTATTTTTTTTGGCCATCCCTGTTGGAAAAACTATGTTGGGAGACTCATTGTGGTGGTGACGAAGTGCCAGGGCACAGCACCTGCTTCTGACCCTCAGAGCATCTTTTAGTCAACTGCTATTTTTGTCACCTAACCTGAAGTATTGCCATGAAAATACTAGACTGGAAGGTATGGGACTATTTTCCCTGCATTTTTTTAAATGACCCCTTTTGTCATAAAAGGTTGTCTGAGTCCAGTTTGCAGGTGCTGTCAGAATTTGGAGTTTAGGCTGTGGTAGGTGCACACTTCCAGTACAGACAAGGCTCCAGGTGCATCACCTCTTGCTTGGTAGGTAATGCACATATTTCAGAATGTGGGAAAATTCGCTATGCATAAGGGACTGATGGGTACTCCAGTGGAAAAAAAAAAATCCTTTCTTCCTCTCTTAAATTTCTTTAGCCATTGGTGGGTGCAGCTTTGCTGGTAAGAACTTGCTGTGTTGTGCAGTGCACACCTGACTTCTGGCCTTGCTGCTGCACAGTGCTATGAGCTTGTCTTCAACCTGACCCACCAGTATCACATACTGCTGCAGAAATTATTGCTGTTCAGGCCATCTTATGGCAAAGCCATTTGTTTCTCTCCTCTCTGCTCATTTTAACACCTCTCGATCTCAAAAACATGCAAAAATGTTGGTGTGCAGCAGCCAAGCTTAGGCTGTCATCCCTGAGCCTTTGACATGCATGAAGATTTTTTTATCTTTAAAAGCCCCACTCACAGAGGGAAACCTGTGACTTGTCAGCTGGTGTGCCTTTGAGGAGACCAAAGGGAATGCTTCTGATTTGAATTTGAATGCTTCAGCTTATTGGTGCTGCTGGAGAAAGTCCTCAAGTTTTTGTGAGAGCAAATAAGCTAGTTTAAAGCCTTTAAGGCCAATTCTAACCATGTTTCAGGATATTTTCACCCCCCAGGACAGGGGTTACTTGTTTTTCTTTTTTATTCTTTCTCTTAAACAAGGGAGGTGATAACATGAGTGTTTTCCTAGCCTTGGGACATAGCTGGGCCTTATGCTCAGGACTTCTCTTCTGAGCTGGATTTATCTGTAGCAAAATGCCAGACTGTAGCCAGGCTCTGAACATTCTCCTCTGCAAGAGCAGAGAAGAAACTAGATTTGCATGGTAATCACTCTTTCCTAAACTTTAAATTGATGATTATATTTCTTGAATTTTATGGGTGGAATGGCCTCTAATGGTACTTCCCTCGCCCCAGCCATTCAATACTCATGTTGCCCTAACAATTAGAGAGGGACTTTGGACAAGGGCATGGAGTAACAGGACAAAGAGGAATGGCTTTCCATTGTCAGAAGACAGGGTCAAATGGGATATTGTGAAGAAATTCTTGGCAGAGAGGGTGGTGAGTCCCTGGCACAGGTTGCCCAGAGAAGCTGTGGCTGCCCCATTCCAGGGCCCTCCTTTCCCATGCTGTTCATTTTGGGGGCTTAACATTCAAGTCAGGGACCTCAGGAGAAAATCCTTAGCAGCAGATCCTCCAGGGTGGAAGGGAGACCCATTGTGTGCATGCCTTGTCCCCAGGCCATTGTCCAGGCGATGCTTGCAGAGCATCAGCCGGGCAGGGCATGTACCACAGTATCCCTGTCTCCCCTGCAAAAATATACCGTGCTCCTTGTCTGGAGGATTTCGGCAGCTTTTCTGCTTGATAAAGCTTGGCCATCACAGCAGGCAGCCTGCTGACACGTCTGCTGGGTGCAGCTGCAGTCTGAAACATCTGAGCTTCCCGAATGTCAGAGAATGGTCGAATAGTGCTGATAATGTCAGGGTGTACAGTTTCACTATAAATCATTTGGGCAGCCTCATTCTGATAGCGTGTGACATGCTGACTGCCCCATCTCTCAGTGGAGATAGAGGAGCATTCAGTCTTTAAAAACATCAAGGCAATTTTGCAAGGTGTATGCAATGGCTGGTGAAAATAGGAAAGTTTTGCTCTTGGAAAGGCACTGAGTCACAGGAGATTGGATTAAATACCAGTGAATGATTTAGAAAGGCAGATCTCTTGCCTCTCTGCACGGCAAGGGTGTTGGAAGGCAGAAGGTCTGGAGCTGATTAAAAGAAGAAACATTTTGTGCAGCCTAACAGGTGGGACCCACTCTTGTGGGATGATGGTGAAACCAGAAGATCCTGGATGACAGAGTAACACTGGTATCAGGGCAATTCCCATGATTCAAGAAGTTGGGCAGTGCCATATGGTACAGGTGGACAAGTGTGACTGCACAGACCCAGGCCATAACATTATGCTAATTTCTTTCTTTTTTTTTTTTTTTTAATTAGGCTGCAGCAAGAGTTGGACAGTCTCCTGGTGACCTAAAGCATCCAGTGTCCAAAGCGACCAGTCAGCAAGCCAGTAAACTAGAGGAGAAAGTCAAGAAAGAAGGGACTGTTTGCCAAGAAACCAGAGGGGCTATAAAAAGGACAAATCCTCGGTTTAGGCCTCAGGAGCCACCAAAGCCACCAGCACCTTCTCCAGACCATGTACAGTCTAACAAGAAGCACCTACCCCCCGGGAAAAAGGCAGAAGGACATTTCCTTGCTCTTGAGGATAGAGAGACTCGGCAAGGACTGTTAAATCAAGAGAACAAAAACCAAGGTGGGGAAGAATCATTGCTGAAAAAATTAACTCCTCCAGAACCTGGAGAAAACACTCCTCTTGAACAAATCCCATGTCAGACAGTCAGGGGTGGGAAGAACAAAGAGGCAGGAGCAGAGTTGTCTGGGAGCCATCCTGGAGGGAGTGATGCACCAAAGCCATGTCTTGGGGCTGTGCACAGGGGGTCAGGAGGGACACCTTTGTGCCATCAGAACACCAAAATGGCTTCTGCTTCAGTTCCTCTTGGCAAGGAAGAGCTGCTTCCTGCTCCTGCAGTGAAGCCATCAGTGGCTCAGGAGGCACTGCTGGAATCTAATGGAAGCCCAGGGATGGAGGCCACTGCAGGAGAGGTCTGGTCTGGAGCCCAGTTGCTGCCTCCTGTGAGTGGAGAAACGGAGATCACAACAACAGATGGATCTGCCCCACAAGAGGTGTTTTCATCCATCACGTTAGAGGAGGAGGATGCCAAGCCAGTGTCCAAGGGACCTCAAGGGAAGGAGGGAAGACTCCTGACAGCCACAGCTCCATGCCAGGAACCAGCAACATCTTCAGAGACTTGGGAAGGAGTCTCTGAGGTTCAGCCACAAGTACCGCTGGTCCTGCCTGGCTCTCAGGAGATGTCTTTGGAGGAGAAAATGCAGCACAAAAACCTGGTTTCCTCCTTAAAGAACTACCTGCTGCTACTTCTAAAAATGTCAGATAGCAGTAAGGATGCCACAAAAGGAGACACTGACTCTGGGGACAAGGAGCAGCCAAATGCAAGGGAAGGCATGATCCCAGAAATAGGCATTGCTGGCCTTAGCCCTCGCACCTCAAGGAAAGTTTTGGAAAAAGTACAAAACAATCAGCTCTTCCAGACAGCAGAGAACTTCCCTCTGACCCCCAAGACATCCAGACGGATCACAGGAATGATTAACAAGGAATTTGTTACCAGCAAGGAGATGCTGGCTTGTAGGCCTGTGCCACCAAAGAGACGCACCTGGGGGTCTCCTGAGGCTGAGGGGCCACCCCCACTCTCTGTACCCTCCATTGTGGTGGGCAGCATGCCCACAGCAGGAGTGGCTCCTCATCTTTCTGATTTGCCTCCAGTGAGCTCTGAAGAGAGCCCTTCTGACCTGCTGGCAGTGCTACCTTGTGCCACACCAGAAGAGCTTGCTTTGGGGGCCCGGCGCAAAATATACCTGCCAAAACCCAAACAAGTGGGGGTGGAAGAGGAGGCAATTCCAGGGAGCCTAGGGCATGCAGGAAGTCTGACTGTTTCACCACAGCAATCCAGGAAGAATGCATCCCTGTTGCACTCTCCTGCCCCAGCTCCATCCTCTCCCTCAGAGCAGTGCTCTCCAACCCTCATGAGGAAAATGGCCACACTGGAGGTTCCTAAGCTGTACGAGGAGCCTGCAGGTGACACCACTGGTGACAAAGAGGTCCCTGGAGATGCTAAGCCAGAAGCACAGTCAGCAGAGTCCCAGAAAACCAATAACCCATTTAAAGGTGAGAGAAGAGAGAATCCCCATGAAGCGCATTCCCTGGTTCCCTACAAAGGGAATCAGTGATAGCAGCTGGTGCCACATGAGTTTTGTGCATTTGCAGGGTTTTCAGCATCAGCCTTTGGCTGTGTGAATGCCAAAAGTCTTCCCCAAGACTTCTTTCCCAGTGCAGGGGGGGATGAGGAATGCAAGAGGCAGCAGCTCTGACACTGGCTGTCTCTACAGTCTGGCCTTCCCCAGCCCCAAGGGTCATAGAATCATCTTGGTTTTGGTCTCTGTCCTCATAAAGCCTGATGCTGGTTGGGGATCCTGAGCTACCTGGTCGAGTGGAAAGTGTCCCTCCTCATGGCAAGAAGGTCGGAATGAGATGGTCTTTAAAGTCCCTTCAGACCCAAACTGTGAGTCCATTATTCAGTGGACATCACAGGGCACACACTTCTCTTCCACATCTGTGGTCAATGCTGATTTGATTCCTTGTGGCATCGAATTTAAAAAGGCTTAATGATGGGGTTGAATGAACCAGGTGGTATTCTCACAGGAATCAGCACTCTTGCAAAGTAAGGGTAATCGTGATAAATCCCTACTTCAGTAGATGGATGTTTCCTCCAATATTCCGTAGTGTTTTTCTGCCTTTCCTCTGGCCAAGGCTCACTGGGTATTGCAGTGCTGCACTGTTGAACAAATTTGTACGACTTGTATCCCATCTTTTTATCCCAGTGGAGCTCTGAGACCTTCCCTGGGAAGGCAGTGTTACATGTGCTGACAAACACGTGATACCCAAAGCCCTGAGCAGCAGTGTGGGCATAGGCTGGCCTGTCCCCAGAGCTCTCTGTCTCACCACCCATCTCTTTGCACCCTGTTCTTAGCTCCACAGGTGGTCCGTAAGATCAGGGCAGAACAATTTTCTGATGCATCAGGAAACCTGAAACTTTGGTGCCAGTTCTTCAATATATTGAGTGATTCTAAGCTGACGTGGTACAAGGACGAGATCCCTGTAGCTGAAGCCCAAAGGAGGTAACCTGTCGGCTCCACGGCAGTGCAGTCCTTGTTGGCATCTGTCACATCTCGCTCCTTGCCTTGACTGGGGTGAAGGAGCCCCTCTTGCTAAGGCAGCATGGGAAGCTCAGTGCATGGCACAGTACACTGTGAACTTCATCATATCAGTGCCCACGGAGGGAAGGATTGCCCAGATGGGGAATTGCTGCTAAATTTATCTTATTGATGCTCCATACGGAGTGTCTGCTTTGTGTACTCAAATGCAAACCTTGGGGAGGGCAGAGAAGGTGTTATGCACATCACAGAAAACAAGAGCTGGATGTGAACTGCAAAACTGGGACCCCAAAGGATCATTATGAGGGTGGCAGCCTCCCAGCAGTGCTGAGAGGGTCTTCCATGCAACTACTGCTGTGAAAAAGCAGCTCTGGCTGTATCCTCTCCATCCCTTGGCAGTGCCCTTGCACAGGGAAGGCATATTACAGCTGGGTATCTGGTTGTATCCTTTGGGTCTACTATGAAGAGCAATTTGTTCTCAAGCCCAGAGGATTTGTGTAGGAAGATCATCCACATCAGTTAGGATTTAACTGATGCCGTTGGTGTCCCCTGAGCTCCCTTTATAATGAGTAGATGATAAGTTAGGTGATTGTGGGGCAGAGATTGTCTCCTGGAGCAGATATTTGAACTGAGGCAGATGGGCACAAGTGGCCATTGCCTGCCAGCAGACCAGAGCAGAGCCTGCTCAGCCAGTGGGGCTCAGGATGAAGGTCCCACTTCTTCCCTCTGTGAAGCTCACTCAGGGGCAAGTACCTTTATCAGTCTGTAGCCCAATTCCGGCCAGATTTTGCAGGGCTTGTCTGGAGGATAAGCATCTGTTAGTACAAAGCACAGGGCAGGACTCCTGGTGCCGTGACATGTTGGGGGAGCAGCTGGGCTTCCCTTGGGATAATTTAATTTGTATCATTCTTCCATCCCCCCAAGGGCAGTACGTTGCCCACCCACAGTGCCTGTCACAGGGCTCCCATGTGGCCCCCACCACACGGGGATGTGGCCGTGCTCCATGTTTTTTTTCCAGTGCTGGTGATGAGGGCCAGGCAGCCTTGGCTGTTGTGCAGGCATCCCAGAAGGATTGCGGAGTCTACCGGTGTGTGATCAGCAATGAGTATGGCACCGACTCCACAGATTTCCTGTTCAGCCCAGAAGGTGAGGAGCCCTCAGCTATCTCTCACAGCTTCCTGGGTGTGCCATGGGGTGGTGTGGCCAACTGCAGAAAAGGCTCGGTGCCAGGCTGCAGTGGGGGAGCCTTGGTACATTCTGTAACACCACCTCTGTGAGATGCTTCTGCCTCTGTGTGCCAATTGATTCCCACCATCCTACCTGCCATCCCTAGTTGTGCAAGTGCATGGGGCAAGGTGGGGTCCTGTCAGGATGGGATCCTGGCAGAACCTTGACACCTCTTTGCTTTCTGTCTCCTCTAGTGTTGTCGGGATTTATCCTGCGGGAAGAGATGGAAGGTAAGGGCCATGTGATGAGCTGTGACTCTGCCCCTTGCTGAGTGGGGCAGGCAGCTCTGGGGTGGAAGCAGGATGTGCCCATGTTGTCCCTCCCTCACCAGCTCTTCCCCCCACCAGTTGGAGAGGAGATCGAGATGACACCCATGGTGTTTGCCAAGGGTTTGGCTGATGCAGGCTATTGGGGGGATAAGCTCTTCGGACGTGTGGTGAGCGAGGACATGGAAGTGGGTGCTGGTTTCCTGCGCAAAGCCTGCCGTGCCAGAGCCATTTATGGCCTGGAGCCTATCTTTGAGTCTGGCCACACCTGCATCATCAAAGTGCACAATTTCATCGTCTTTGGGACCAAGAATGAGAACAGCCTTATTGAGAAGAACTATGATATCACCATCCAGGTGGGCATCCCTCTGGGCTACTATTCACCTTTCTCCCTCTTATCTTCCTCACCTGTGAGTTGGTCCCCAGATGGTCTCGAGCTCTGTGCCCATTTTTGCTCTTTCCTTCCACTTTTGGAATGCTCTGGAGTGGTCTAGCCAGGGGGTTGGACATGCCTTTGTCATTCTTGGCTGCAGCTCACAACATGGAGCTGCTCAGGACTTTCCCATCACCTCTTGACCATCGGGACGGGGAAACAATTGGCAGTGGTCCCAGGAAGATATTGGTGCAAGATGGGACAGGTTCTTGACTCTTCTGTTTGCACTTCCAGGAATGTAAAGTCCAAAACTCCAGCCGTGAGTACTGCAAGATCTTTGCTGCTGAGGCACGAGCCGTGCCTGATTTTGGAGCAGTGCCTGAGTAAGTGATATGCTGCAGCTCCACTGGCTTAATGCCCTGGCAGAGCATTGCAAGGGATGGTGGGAAGATGGGTGGTGGGGCATCCCAAAGGCAGTGCACTCTACTCCCACAAATGGAAGGGATATTGGGAGGAAGGTAAAAGACAGGGTTGCAGACCATGGTGAATCTTCACTTGAAGAGGAGGGAGAGCTCACCATTATGACATTGTCTGTGAACTCCCACACAGGATAATTCCTTTGTACTTGATTTATCGTCCGGCTAACAACATCCCTTATGCCACAATGGAGGAGGACCTCGGCAGGCCCTGTGAGCAGTACTGTGTCACTGAGAGAGATGGCAGCTTGGTGGCACGAGGCACCTCGGAGATTGTGCTCAAATGCTGCACCTTCCAGCATTGGGTTTACCAGTGGACAAATGGAAACATCCTCGTGACTGACATGGAAGGTAAAGGGATCTCCTGTGTGGTGCTCATGGGCCCATCTTTCCAGCCTGGGAAAGAAAGAAAATCCCCAGGCTTGCCCTCTTGCCTCTCTCTCCTGCCCCATGCCATGGAACCCTCTACCCAGGGCAATGATCTGCCCTTGGTGCTCGTGGCTATCCTTCTCTGGACAGAGACTGGTTGTCCTCTTAAATTACAGGAGTGGGCTGGAAGTTGACCAACGTGCGGATGGCTACCAACCTGAAGGGGTGAGTGACTTCCAGCTCTGGAGCAGGGTGGCCCTGGCTGTCCCCAGCTCTGCCGCTTACCTGGCAAGGGTCATGGTGATAACCGTGGTCAGGCTCCATCCCCACCTCCCTGCTCTGGTGGGACATCTCCTTGGTGCAAAGCAGGAGCTGAGGACAGCTGTGTTGGCAGGTTCCAGGGGCTGAAGGAGAGTTGCTTCCCTTCCCTGCTGGAGCAGTTCCCGGTCGCTCACAGGTGCAATCATTACTGCAGCATCCTGGGCCTGAAGATGCTGGAGCCAGCCAAACCCAAGGGCTCCAAAAGTCCCTGCCTGGGAAGGAAGTCTGCCCAGTCCAGCCCCCAGCTCCAGAAGAAGGTGCTGACAAGTCCTCAGAGCACCCGCAAGGCTTCTGTGAGCCCCAAGAGCTCCCGGAGAGCTGCAGAAACAGGAGAGGCCCCAACAGCCTGCAAACCCAGGTCAGGAGAGAGCAACAGAGCTGGCTGCCCGCAGTAGTCACAGCTGCTGCAGCTGAGATTCCTGCTCTGGCCCCCAACCTGGGCCCAGCACATGACCAGTGTGGGAAAGGGAGACCCTGGCAGTGGCCTTCTCCTTGGGGCTCCTTCCTGGCCCGCAGCGCTTGCATTGTGTGGTGTGTGCTAATTGTGAGTGGCTAGGCTGGGTCCAAGGGGGCTGTGAGCCACAGGCTACCTCCCCAGTACCACTCTACAGGGGCTGCTGCTGAAACCTGTGGGGCCGTGTGCCTCTCCATGCTCAGACTCGCTTTCCTCTCTCAACTTTCGTAGGCCTTCCTTAAGGCAGGGGCAGAGCTTCTCCCTTGGGCTTTGCAGGCATCATGTCCTTGCCTGGCTCCCCAGCAGAGTCCTGGACATGCTCTTGGCTCCTAGCACCTCATGTCCCTCTTTGTGTCCCCATAAAGTGACTGGGCCAAGCCTTGCCAGCACTGTCAATGATGAGAACCCCACCAGTGTCCAGGCAGTCCCCTGTGGCCTGGCACACCTTTTTACCTGTAGAGGGTTCCAGCAGGTGGGACTTTGGAGTGTTGGCTGGTTCCAGGGCAGGGTATTTGCACTGGTACCAGCAGCTTCATAGGGATGGGATTTTGCACACCTGCCCTCCCCTGCTTCCCAGGGAAGTCTCCCACCGTGTTGCTGGGTGGCTGCTATGGGGGGCCATGCTGCTCTGGATGGTGGCCAGTGCTACGGTAAGGATGCTCTACCTCACATGGGATACTCACAGGGGCGACTTCCCCTCCATACCAGGCTCTATCTTGGCACATGGGAGTGTCTAGCCCACAGGACTTGCTCCTCCTTGCCCCTGTGCCATTCATAGACCCTGTACGCCCTAGCCTCACAGCACGATCTGGTGCTCATCTGCTGCTTGGCACATGCTGGACTCCAGCACCAGCTGGCAGTACCCACTCCAAATCCTGCTACCCCTGCCTCAAGGCAGTGATGGACAGGCAGAGGAGCTGTCTGCTCCATCACCCTGCAGAGCATCCCCTTCCTCAGGGCATTGCAGGAGGATGCTGAGTGCCAGTGACACCATGCTGCAGGCTGGGGTCCCAAGAAGTGGCTCAGTGCAGCCTGATGGAGGGAAAGGGCCAGGCTGGGAGCATGGCATGGTCTGGGCTCCTGGTCCTGTGTCATTGGGTGACTGTAAAATACCAATGTACATAACATGACTGCATTGGCGACTGGGTGCTCTCAAGTGCAATAAAGCGAGAAGGACTGGCCTGTTCCCTGGCACTGTGGTCCCTCCAGGAGAGGTGCACCCAAGTACAGTGGGATGTGTTGGCTTTGTGTTTGGGGGAAGGAAACATCTTCAAGCACTGGCTTTACCTCATCCATGCCTGGTGGGGGAGAAGAGGGGGGCTGGGGCCAGAGCCTAAGGTTGGCAGCAGACAGAGGCTCAGCTTGCAAGGTCTGCAGTGGGCATGGGGTGCAGCCCCAGCAAAGGACCTTGTGCTGTGTGGGACACCCATAGTCAGGGGCCAGAAGGGGTCTGAGGGCAAGCACGCAAGAGTTGACGTAATTTATTTGGGAGCTGCTCCCTTGTGTCCACAGGGCCAGAACCTAAGGCTGCAGGTTGCAAGGTGCACACAGCTGTCCATCAGCACTGGAGTGGAGAAGACCAAATGCTCAGGTTTCTGTTGGGTTTTTTTCTACATTTGGGGATAGGCCTTTGGGGTAGACCCTGGTGTTGCCCCAATTCTAGATTGTCCCTGCACAGGACGTATGGTTGTAGTACACACAGCACTCAGTGAGCCACAGCATGCTCTCTGCCTGCTCAGCCCAGGATCCCGTGAAGGAGACAGTCCCATTCTGGAGCACTGAGCTGGAAGGAGAGATACAGGGTCAGGACAAGCTGCCGCCCCACCACCTGGGTCCTTGGGCAGGACCATATGGCTCCGGGGCCCTTCACACCCACCTTGCAAAGAGCTGCTTACAGCAGGTGTACATAGTGTAGCTGGTTGAGCTGAAGTTGGTGGTGCTGAAGAACATTGCGCAGTCACCCACCTTTGTTGGCACATGGAGGAGACCTGGGGGACAAGGGCTCCTGTTGGGACTTAAGAGGGACCATGGATCCAAATTCCATACCCCAAGCAAGTTGTGAGTCCTGTACTCCATGCCTGCTCACAAGTCCCACACCCTGACTATACTTACTTGCCAATCCTGTACCTGGCAGGTCCCATGAGCCATCCCACCTCCCCTCCCAAGACTTCAGGGAGCTCCTTGCAATACTCCAAAAGTTGCCCTTGAAATGTTCCAGCCCAGAGGAGGATGAGGGCTCCAGGAGAGCTGTTGGGCTTGGGCTGCCCTTGGCAGAGCCATGAGTGGAAAGCAGATTTGGAGGCTCTGGCAGAGCCATGGGGGGACAGGCCAGCCACCTCCATCCCTGAAGGCAGCATTTATGGGGTCTTCAGCCCTGTGCCTGTCCCTCCCTGGATCTTTCTGGCCCTGGTGGCAGTGGCAGAGATCTACCTGCCAGGCAGGCATTGAGCATGGAGACACAGATGCCAGTGAGCAGGGCCCGCAGCACTACGGAAGCAAAGTCACCCTTGCGCTGGGGCACCATGGAAGCTGTGGGGGAAAAACAGACAGTGGGGTGAGTCAGATGCTTGCTCTGGCTCTCTGCTGGGTGTGGGACAGATAGGGACATGTCCTCAGTCTTGAGCTGGCTCTGCCACATAGAGCCCTGCCCACCCCAATTCCTGCTGTCTGGAGGATGTGGTGATCCCAGCCAGCACCCAGTGTGCTGTCTGCCCATCCTGGCAGAGCACTGTTCCCACCCTGCAACCATGGGTGATCCACCAGAGCCCTGAGCACTCCCAACATTGGAGTCTCTCTGCTCTTTCCCCTGTGGCTGGATGACACCCAGGCTTGAGGGGACATGCATGGGCTCTTGCCCATGGATGGAGTGCAAAATCATCCTGGTCACCTCATGCAAATGATGTTTCTTATCTGGCACGACCAAACATGGAGGCTTGAGGGCAGCAAATTCCTCCTGCCTCAGCTGAGCTCTCACTCCCTGACCCAGGTCCCCACTTCTTGAGTGTCCAGGCACTCAGGACATAGGTCACACTCACTCAGGCCTCCCAGAGTGATGCCAATGGAGCTGAGGTTGGCAAATCCACAGAGGGCAAAGGTGGTGATGCTCTCGGCTCGCTCCTGGAGGGCACAGCAGCAGGAGATGGTCACTTCTGCCCAGGAGCAGCCCCAGAGCACCCAGAGCTGAGCACCACATTGGACCTCCCAGATAGACACAACAGAGAGAAGTCCCCCACCCCAACCCCTTCTCTGTCAACTATTTTTGGGAGCAACGATGAAGGCTCTCCTGGAAGAGACTGGGCTGAGGGGACAAGGGGCCCTGTAGCACTATGATCAGTCCCATCAAGGAGCAGGATAAATGGAAAAGGGCTTCACTGACTGCTTCCTCCCACACCCAGACATTAGCAAACATCCAAGTGTAGCTGGACATAGGTGCCCTCCCACTCCCAGCACCATCATCCTGGTTCAATGATCTTAGAGGACTTTTCCATACTAAATGGTTCTATAATCCTCTGCCTGCCCACCACCCATCTGCCTAGCCAGGTTCCGTGCCACATTCCAGCTGGCTCTGTCCCTGCCCTGTGTCTGGCAGGGTGGCAGGTGCCCCTCACAGATATCCACTGCTTCTGGTTCCCATCCCACTCCTCCAGGCCCATCAGACGGTTCTTCTTGTACGTGGCCAGCTGCTGGTACGCCACAAACTCGTTCAGGAAGATCTTGATCCCCAGGAGCTCAGCCACCACCGGTGAGTCTGCCCAGTCTGCCCCCATGAGAAAGGCCACAGGCATGAGGACATAGGAGCAGATCACCTAGGAAAAGCATCCCAGAAGGGAATGACTCAGAGCTGACCTGCACAGCCCCTAGATGTGACATCCACTGCCAGCATTTGCCAAAACACATCAAGGGTCTCAGCAGCCCACTGAGGCAGTGGGCAAAGGTGGAGATGGGTGGAGGATGCAACATCTTGCAGCTCAAATCATGTGTCTGTTTTTGAGGATACCTGGAAGGTAAGACCCTTGATGTCTACCATCTCGCCGAACCAGCGGAGGGCAGCATTGATGAACTCCAGCACGGCCAAGAAGGCGATGAGGTTGGCTGCAATGTTGGCCACGAGCCCCACGGAGGTGGCAGCCCCATTACTAGCAGCTTCCAGGATGTTCTGCTCTTCGCTGCATAAAAAAAGACCACAATGTACTCATCTGGCTGGGCATCCCCTATGCCAGGTCAGCACTCACTTCATGGATGTGTGCACACCACAGGCTCTCCCAGCCTTGGGCCACCTGCAGTGTCCACTTGTGCCTCAAAGTGCCCCCACAGCTTCCCTGCAGTAGAAGGACACATGCAGCCTCACTCCACTGCCCCTCTCCTCACACTCACCCAGTGGAGAGGCGGATGTTTGCTTTGCCCTTGAACTTGGACTCCTCCACTTCAGGGTAGACAAGTTTGGCCATGGCGAGGGCGCAGGGTGCAGCCATCACAGAAGCTGCGATCAGCGATGCTGCATCAATCTGCAACATGCAGACCAGAGGCATAGGCACCTCTTCGCAAGGCTGTGCCCCATGACCTGCCACCCCAGCACATGGCTGGCATCAGCCAGTGACACTCAGAGCAGTTTAGGGCTCTCCACTTGCTCAAGATAAGAAAATTGGCTAGTTTTCCCCTCTAAGCAGCCATGCATGTGGGGCAGCTTGCCTGGATGGAGGCGATTGCTGGAGTTGCAGCGATTTTAGCCTTGGTGATGTTAATCTCTCCTGCTGTTTGACTTAATCATAATAGTTCTTTTCCCTTCCTTGTCCCTTTTTACCAGTATCAGAGCAATAGGTTGGATAACACTGTTAACTTCTACCTGCTGATGAAGGGCCAAGCTCCCAGCCTCACCCATCCCTGGCAATGTCTCATTTCTCTGACCTTCCACCTTTGGTTCCCCATTTAAGGAGACTAATTAATGT